CAACCACTGGTAGAATACGGTGTCTAGTTCTGGTGTCCAGAATTTAAGAAGGATATTGATAAGTTGGAGAGGGTTTGAAGAAGAGCCACGAGATTGATTAAAAGATTAGAAAACATGACTTGTAGTTAGGCTTGTTAGAATTTGATTTTTTTATTATTTTGGCAGATATCAATATTTTAGCTTTTTATCTTTATCAATGTAAATGTTCACAGTTCCACATAATTATGGCTTTTAATTTTTTTTACATTTTTATCTATTTAAATTATTACAGTTGTAGGAAAGTGTGCAGAGGTCAGACAATTATTTTAATAACAGTAGACACAAATTCAAAAAATTAAAGCTTTATATCTGTTAAAACACATTGTCAACGTCACATGCCAAAATATACAAAACAGATATACTTTAGGGCTGTGAAGCGATTAAAAAAATTAATTGTAATTAATCGCGCTTTTAAACAATAGAATACCATTTATTTAAATATTTTTGGATGTTTTCTACATTTTCAAATATATTGATTTCAATTACAACACAGAATGCAAAGTGTACAGTACTCACTTTATATTTTTTTTTTATTACAAATATTTGCACTGTAAAAAACCAAAATAAATAGTTTTTTTCAATTCACCTAATACAGGTACTGTTGTACAATCTCTTTATCATGAAAGTTGAACTTTAAAATGTAGAGTTATGTACCAAAAAATCTGCATTCAAAAATAAAACAATGTAAAATTTTAGTTTAGAGTCTACAAGTCTAATCAGTCCTATTTCTTGTTCAGCCAGTCGCTCAAACAGACACATTTGTTTACATTTCCAGAAGATAATGCTGCCTGCTTCTTGTTAACAGTGTCACCTGAAAGTGAGAACAGGAGTTTGCATTGCACTGTTGTAGCTGGTGTCACAAGATATTTACACGCCTGATGCGCTAAACAATGGGGAGTAGGTTTAAAACAAATAAAAGGAAGTTCTTCTTCACACAGCGCACAGTCAACTTGTGGAACTCCTTGCCTGACGAGGCTGTGAAGGCTAGGACTATAACAGCGTTTAAAAGAGAACTGGATAAATTCATGCAGGTTAAGTCCGTTAATGGATATTAGCCAGGATGGGCAAGGAATGGTGTCCCTAGCCTCTGTTTGTCAGAGGGTGGAGATGGGTGGCAGGAGAGAGATCACTTGATCATTGCCTGTTGCGTTCACTCCCTCTGGGGCACCTGGCATTGGCCACTGTCGGTAGACAGGATACTGGGCTAGATGGACCTTTGGTCTGACCCAGTATGGCTGTTCTTATATCTAATTTGCATTTTTTCAAATTTGCAGTGAAAGTGTTCTAAAAATGAACAGCATGTGCTGGGTCATCATCAGAGACTGCTATAACATGAAATATAAGGCAGAATGCAAGTAAAACAGAGCAGGAGACATACAATTCTCACCCAAGGAGTTCAGTCACAAATTTAATTTAACACGTTATTTTTTTAACGAGCGTCATCAGCATGGAAGCATGTCCTCTGGAACGATGGCTGAAGCATGAAGAGGCATATGAATCTTTAGTGCATCTGGCATGTAAGTATCTTGTGACGCCAGCCACAACAGTGCCATGCGAATGCCTGTTCTCACTTTCAGGTGACATTAGGGTGACCAGACATCCCAATATTTAGGTGTTTGTCCCGTGTCCCGACCGATCTTTGGTCGGGACGCAATTTGTCCCGATATTTCGCTACGCCGGCAGCACTCGGTTTTGTTTTTTTTTTGCTCTGCCGGCGGACGTAAACAAACTTGTTTCTCTTAGCGATTGGCTGAACAAGAAGTAGGACTGAGTGGACTTGTAGGCTCTAAAGTTTTACACGGTTTTGTTTTTGAATGCAGTTATGTAATCAAAAAACCTACATTTGTAACATGCACTTTCATGATAAAGAGATTGCACTACAGTACTTGTATGAGGTGAATTGAAAAATACTATTTTTTATCACTTTTATAGTGTAAATATTTGTAATAAAAAATAATATAAAGTAAGCATTGTATATTTTGTATTCTGTGCTGTAATTAAAATTGATATATTTGAAAATGTAGAAAAACATTCAAATATTTAATAAATTTCAAGTGGTATTCTATTGTTTAACAGTGCGATTAATTGCATTAATTTTTTAATTGCGATTAATTTTTTTGAGTTAATCACGGGAGTTAACTGTGATTAATCAACAGCCCTAATATACTTAAATCGAACTCTTAAGTTCTCAAGCAGCTTTCTCCCCTTGCGCCCCCCCCCCCTTCATTTTGCCTGTCTGGAAATTCCATTTATTATCAATGAAAAAATATTTCCATTGGTTTGTGTGTCTATTGGCATTTATTGATTAAAAAATCAAATCCTTCCAAGCCTGCTTATACTGATAGACTCAAGAAACTCAATCTATTTAGTTTAACAAAGAAGTTTAGGGGGTGACATGATTACAGTCTATAAGTACCTACATGAAGAACAAATATTTAATAATGGGCTCTTCAGTCTTGCATAGAAAGGTATAACGTGATCCAATGACTGGAAGTTGAAGCTAGAAAAATTGGAAATAAGGTGTACATTTAACAGTGAAGGAGCCATTGGAACAGTTTACCCAGGGTCATGGTGGATTCTCCATTATTAACAATTTTTAAATCGAGATTGGATGTTTTTTCTAAAAGAGATCCTCTAGGAATTATTTTGGGAAATTTCTATGGCCTGTGCTATACAGGAAGTGAGACTAGATCAGCGTTTTTCAAACCTTGGGTCGCAACCCAGTACTGGGTCATGGAATGTCAGACACTGGTTCACTCTGGTTAGCACCGCCGACTGGGATGTTAAAAGTCCCGTCGGCAGTGCTGCCCAGTGAAGGCAGGCTAGTGCCTATCTGTTTTGACACCACGCTGTATACCGGAAGCGGCCAGCAGCAGGTCTGGCTTCTAGGCAGGGGGGCCATGGGGCTCTGCGTGCTGCCCCCGACCTGAGCACCGGCTCCGCACGGCCAATGGAAACTGGCGGGGGAGGTGCCTGTGGCCGAGAGTCGTGTGAAGCCGCTTGCACGCCTCTGCCTAGGAGCCGGACCTGCTGACCAGGAGCCGCCGGAGGTAAGTCCATGCCCCAACCCTGTGCCCCAGCCTTGAGCCACCCCAAACCCCTCATCCCTGACCGCACCCCAGAGCCTTACATTAAACATATGATCAAACCCCACAAGTTAGGGTGATTAAAAATATTCTGGCTATGTTCCATTCATATAACACCTCCATGATCTTTAGTATATTTTTATGCTGTATTTTGGCTAACCACAGCTGGGTCCACAGAAGTCTTGGCTGACTCTGTTTTACTCACTTTAACCCTAAACTGTACTGGTTAGCCCAGTGTTTCTCAAATTGGGGTCGCCACTTGTGTAGGGAAAGCCCCTGGCGCGCCGGGGCAGTTTGTTTACCTGCCCCGTCAGCAGGTCCGGCTGATTGCGGCTCCCATTGGCTGCGGTTCACTGCTGCAGACCAATGGGAGCTGCTGGAAGCGGCGGCCAGTAAGTTTCTCGGCCCACACCGCTTCCTGCAGCTCCCATTGGCCTGGAGCAGCGAACCGGGACTGGTGGGAGCCACGATCGGCCGGACCTGCAGACGGGGCAGGTAAACAAACTGGCCCGGTCTGCCAGGAGCTTTCCCTACACAAGCGGCAAACCCAGTTTGAGAAACACTGGGTTAGTCTAATTTCTAACCGTACACAATAAATGCTTAACACTATACATATGTGAAGGCATCACTCCTTAAATAATTAACCCTTTAATAACCAGTTCCAACAATTACTTGAACAAGTCCCCCAAAAAAACCATGGGATGTGGGTTCTACTTTCTCTCTCTTCACTCGATGGCTAACGTGCTTTTAGCTGATCAAGAGGTATTTACCCTGTCAGGACCCACCGAGCAGCCCAGGGCAAGCTTGCAGTACGTGGATCAGGGCACAGTGCGAGAGAGCTGAAGGGACTGAGATAAGGTAGCACGGACCTGTGCGGGTAAATCAAGTCTCCTACCACCTCAGTGTGGATCACCGGGCCCCAATGCAACTGTAATTTCAACTTCAGGTACCTCTACATTACTATACAATTCAACTTACAAAGCCCCCTTAATACGTGTATAAAGGAATCCCCTTTTTGCAAGTTTCTAAACCCCAATGACTAGTCAATAATACCCAATGAGGATGACATTAGAGTGCAATCCCACATCACCCCACATGCATCCTTACACAGTTACAATTTCCATGGAGACCTAGTGGTGAGAGACAGGTGGTTACTCATGAGGGTCCTACCTTGTCTCTGGCATGCCAAGTGAGTCTGATGGTCAACACCATGTTAATTTAGCTCGAACCTGTGGTTTTTTTAGATTTTTCATTGTTTGTTTATGATAACCAAATCATATATATTGCTGTGTAATAAAACATTTCCATAAGGTTGGAAAGTCTTGTCTATGAAAACCCCTGCCACGCAAGTGGGACAATTGCCAAAAAAGTCTAAGATCAGTCTCTGTTTGTCCCTCTGCACTCCTTCAGACTTCTCTGAGAGAAAATGCTCTGGCAAAAAGCTTCTAGGTGTGAAATTAACTGCAAAGTGGGGTTTTGTCCTCTTTGATATATTAAACAACTTTTGAAATATCAGGTCCTATCTCTCTTTGGAGGATATTGCTAGGACCGTTAGTGGACATAAATAACGAGTCTTTAAACATGAGCCTTTAAACTAAACTGCTGCTAAACTTTATTAACATGAAGGAAGAAGCGATACAGATTTCAATGAATTTTGAAGTTGCCTTTTTATATAACAAAGAATCAGTAAAGGGCAAACAATTTTATTTTGCATTGTAGTTGACATTTTATCCAATTTAGGATTAGTTTGCAAATCAGAAAGAATAAAAACTAATCTTGCACCATTGAACAAGCACAGACTGACTAATCATGAAAACAACCTGTACTTTGGTTTGAGACATTTGAAGTTTCCTTTGTTCTGTATTTTAAAAATAGGTTTGTAAGCGAATGGACTTGGTCTGCCAGCGAATGTTAAATCAGGGATTTCTGAAAGTGGAAAGATATCACAACTTGTGTCAGAAACAGGTTAAAGCACAACTTCCAAGGTATGTGCCAATTACAGCTATGGGTTCCAAATACTGTATCTTAAAACACATAAGTAAGAACACAGTAACATTATTTCTTAGGTTTAAAGCTAAGACTGTAAAAGTTTACTTCAATTATCTAGTTAAATTAATGTGTTTTAGAAAAACATTGACAATATTTTGGCTGTAATTGGAATTATCTGGTTCAGTTGGTAAAATTCCATGGTTTATTTTTCTTGTAAGAACACTTAGCCCAACCCTAAAGTCTGTTTGTTTAGATAAATGTTATCCTGTTTGTTTGTTTGTTTGTTTATTTATTTATTTGCTTCCCAGCCTGTCGGGAACTGAAGTGCTGTCAGAAGAGAGAGGAAGTGTCCAGTATTACTCAAAATCAACTCCTCTGGCAAATCTAGGAGCCATGATAACTTGCTCCAAAAGGAGTGCCAACTAACCTACCTTGGCTAAAAGGATTTTTACCTACCTGTGCAATTGAGTAGACGTGAAACACATTTTTCATGTAACCTGGGATTAGAAAGGCATGATCTAATTTTGCATGTTTTCTTATCATGTGTTTTGGAGCTAAGGGCCAATCAGCAACTGCATGGACACAGTATCCACTAACATAATTTGGAGCTGGATCATGGGCATTAGAAGACAATGTTAGAAGGGAATGAGAGAAGCTGCTTCTCACTTCTAAAACCTGATAATTAAGCCTAATTTATTGTCATGATTTAAATGGTTTCATTTTAGGTGTTGGTCCTGCTTTGAGCAGGGGGTTGGACTAGATGACCTTCTGAGGTCTCTTCCAACCCTAATATTCTATGATTCTATGATTTTATTTCATGATTGTTACCCGGCATCAAAAAAGCTCAAACAGTCATCAGTTCTCTCAGCTCAGGTGAAGCTTGGGACTGAGCAAGTATGGAGGCTGGATTGCTGTTTATTAGTGGTGGTGGTTTTTAGGTCAGTTGCCAGAACACACATGGATAGTGATGACAAAATCGCATTGAAGCACTCTGCCCCAGTGCATTGCTTTAAGACTACTCCTTCTAGTCCTTTAATATTTTTAATCTTGGATTTTTTTAAAAACTAGGATGCCTTTACATATACTAATTTGGATTAAAAAAATTTCACAGTAATGATTCAAGGAGAACCAAATTTGACAAATAGATCTAAAAATTATTCCAGTGTTTAGCAAATGTGCAGAGTCATTTGCTGGCTGGTTCTTGACAGCTGCAGCAATCTCTTGAGAAGGACAAAACTACTGGAAGTACAGCTCTACCCCAATATAATGCGTCCCGATATAACATGAATTTAGATATAACGCGGTAAAGCAGTGCTCCGGGGGGAGGGGGTGTGTGTGGCTGCGCACTCCGGTGGATCAAAGCGAGTTCAATATAATGCGGTTTCACCTATAACGCGATAAGATTTTTTTGGCTCCCGAGGACAGCGTTATATTGAGGTAGAGGTGTAGTTGTATTTCTTTCTGACTCTCAGCAGGTAAATGGCCATGTGATACAAGATTCAGAAACTCTGACTAATACACCGGATGCTGCCTGTTGGATCTTGACTTACACCTGGGCTCTTAAGAGCAGAAGGATTTAAAAGAACTACTGTTGCAATACTTCAATTTTTGGTGGCTTAAAATTGCTAAGGCTGTGGTGTCATTTAATGGTTTCTGTATGCTTTCTTCTAGGCGGGAGTCCGAAAGAAGAAACCATTCATTAGCTCGCCATGCAGACATTCTTGCTGCTGTAGAAACAAGGCTCTCTCTGTTAAATATGACTTTCATGAAATATGTGGATTCCAATCTCTGTTGCTTCATACCTGGAAAGGTAAAATATAAAATTGCTTGCTTGTATAAATGTGTATTGTTGCTAAAAAATCATATTCCTCAATTTCAAATTATTAACAGCTGTAGCTGCCTAAAAGTGTAGTATAGTGCATCAATCATTCTGGATGTACTTAGACATATTATAGGCAGCCTATGTACTGTAAGGGCTACCCTATGAATAGATATGCTTGTTTGAATGAGTTGTTTTTTGGCTTTATATTAATGATCCAACATGAAAAATGGCTGTTGATTTGTTTTAAATTAACTCAGTATGCCAGTTGTGGATCATATTCAATAAATGTATTCATTTAAAGAAATACTTAAAAATGCTTGAATTGGTCACTGTTCTTTGCAGGTTCACTTTTACTGTTCATACGTCTGCTACTGATACCTTTGAACAGATAGAACTCGACTTACAGTTTATTCCTTAAAAGTATGTAGATGCTGTATGTAGAGTTTGAGTAGTCCAGACTTAAACTGTAAACACCAAACTGGAGGCCATTCCACCACAAACTCTCATCACCCAGATTATCTTGTGCAATATTTTTGGTACACTTCTGTAACAAAAAATGTATATTTGATGTGTTCCTAACACCATCTGTTGAGTATCAGTTAATATTAAGCATTTTAGGCCAAAGACAAATTGAACTTGAGTTTTTTCAGTACATGAGAGGAACACTTGTTTTTTTCCTAAAATTAGAAATACCATTGGAATACCTTGCTTAGCTATTTTAGAATATATTATCTGTGGTACTGTATCACCTAGCATATATGTTAGACCTAAACAAAACAAGAAGGTATGTCAAAATCTAAGCATATGTGTTCAGCTGTCATGTAAATTTGCTGTTTATTTCCACTGCAGTGTTTCATGTGTATTTGACACAATAGATTAAGCTATCAGAGGGGTAGCCATGTTATTAATCTATTAGATTAAGCTAGTTATATGGACACTTGCATGGTGTTCAAATCACATCTGTCTGTCATTGGCAAACAGCTTCAGGTGTCTTATTTCCCCATCACCATAGTATCTGAGTGCCTCACAAGCATTAAATAATTTATCTTAGCACTATATCTGAGGCTTAGTCTACATTAGAAAAATTTGCTGGCATAACTATGTCAGTTACTAGTATAGAAAAAAAATCATACCCCTTAGCCAATTTAGCTATGTCAGCAAAATTCCTGGTGTGGATGCAGCTATGCCAACAGAGTGCTTTTGCCAGAATTGACTGCCTTGCTAAGGTGTTCAGTGTATTTGCTAAGAATTTTCTTATGAGTCTCCGTGGAGAACGAAGCATACTGTACTAAGTATAAACTTTATGGGAGAGATTTTAAGGAGTGTACTAATAGTAGAAGTAATAAGAAAAGAAAAGTTGCTAATTGCTGTCCAGGTTACTGTGGAATGCTCCATTACATTTCATGCAGTGGTTATGCAGATTAGTTCATATGTTCAAAAATAACTATTATAGTAAATTTACTGAGTAAAAGTTTCTAAAGATACAATGACAACTCAGACTCTGCCTCCACTGTAAAATACAGCATTTCATTTCAGGTGATTAGTATAAAATTAGGAAGAACACAGGAACAAACTAGTGTAATGGGTATGAAATACCTGCCCATCAGTAGATCAGTGCTATAATTTCAGATTATACCAATAACTATCTTAATTTTTTCCCTTGAACTTGACAGAACATCTAACAGTTCTTAAATATTTTAGGTGATTGATGAAATTTATCGTGTGCTACGGTATGTAAACTCTACAAGAGCCCCTCAGAGAGCCCATGAAGTCCTTCAGGAATTAAGAGACATCTCATCCATGGCTATGGAATACTTTGATGAGAAGATTGTTCCAATTCTAAAAAGAAAGTTGCCTGGATCAGATGTATCAGGTCGTCTCATAGGAGCTGCCCCAGGTATTACTTTCAACCTCTAGTATTTTTAACTTTTTATCTAGCTGTTTTTGTCTATCATGTTGTCTGAAAATTCACAACATTTCACTTTCTAGAAAGCATTCACGCCCTTGTTTGTTTCCCTCAACAATGGAATACCGCATTATAATCCAGCCTCCTGAAGAAAATTAATTTTACATCCTAAGGCCATTGAGTGTGGAATGTAATTGTTTGAAAATTTAAGGAGGCTTTGTTTTGCTAGACTTGAATGTATTTTATAATTATGCATAGTGTGTATTCTTTAAACAAATACTTTTGTACCACTAATGAATGAGACTTTATAATCACACTTGGTTGAAATTTAGCACACAAAGCCACAATTCAATATGTTTGTAGTTTTATTAATAGAATAAACAAATGAGATAGCTTTCTCTTTGTACTACAATAATTTAAGCTAAAGCACCCTTAGATTCTTTATGTAACAAGAACCCAAATGTTTTGTTTTCAAATGAAATATTCGTAGGTGTTTAGTCTAACATGGAAAAGGCCTCTTGGCTCTGTAAAATATTAAACTGGATAAGTTAACACTCAAACTGGCTTTTTTTGGGGAGGGCACAACCAGTTACATTTTTCATACAACTTAATTTGTATGGGCCAAATGTTGAGGCAGGCTGCTGATCTGAGCATATAATGGCCAAAAGTAGCAGAAAAGATGCATGTCCACTAGCCTGTGTAGAATATACATACAGGCTCAGTCCCAACACCTTAGGTTACTAACAGATATAGTAAAGTATCCATCACTTGGAGTCTTTAAATCAAGTTTAGATGACCTTCTAACATCTATGCTGTAGTTCAAACAGAAATTTTTGGTTGACACGGGAATCTAATTTAAATTCTATAGTTCATGTAGTGCAGGAGGTCAGAATAGATTACAACGGTCCCTTCTGGCCTTAACTTGAACACAGATGAGTCTTCTACTGAGAGTCTCTGCTAGCAAGTGTTTGGGGGAAGTGGAATGAACAGCACCCACTAATGGCATGAGCAGCAGATTGGAACATAGCACAAGTCCCCATGGCTCAAAAAACATAGGACACATTGATGTAGCCTACTATCTCCCCATACCTCCACAATGCTGTGATCTGTAACAACACTTGATGCTTAAGGATTCAGTGTTCTCCCCACAATGAAATTGGAACTCCTTTGTTCAGGCTATGCTGCCTTTTTCAAGATTTGCCTTATCTCTGTAGTAACATAGGTAAACTCATTCATATAGATTGATGGACTTGAGTGAAATACTGCTTTAAAATGTTTAAACAAAACTTACATGATAGAGCTGTTACAATCATGTCAATTTACAATAGCTATTATTGAAAAAAATCACTTCTACAAGTTTCTTGAGTCCTGCAGGTCTTGAAGGAATAGATTGTGCACACTCAGTAATGGCTACTGAATTTTCATGATTTTCCTCTTAACTGTCACTTTTTAAAGACACTCAAACATTACATCAAGCTGACACATACAAAATATTCAGAATTAAGCTGAGTGATCTACTGTATGTCCTGCAGTAAGTCTAGTTACAGTGATGTGTCTAGTTTTTTGGCTTTGTGCATGTCACACCTTTGATAACTTAATTTAGTGGTTTAGAACATAATCTTACATTCATATTTTAGGCAAAAAGTAGTTTTTCTTTATTCAGGAAGTTGAAAATAGCTTATGCTTTGACCTCTTAAAATCTGAAACATTGGGTGTAATTGTACCCTGATTTATACTATGAGCAAGCTTATTGACTTTCCTGTATATTGAGTATCTGTAAATAGTATTTTACATAGTCATAGTTTTACAAACCAAATTATTCAGATTCTGGATTGGTCAACAGAATTGAACAGAGGGTATAAATTGGGGCACAATTTGATACATTTTGTTTAAACACAATGTAGAAAAAATAATCTTAAATCACTTTCTCTGAAGTTCCAGGTCCTTCCGCAGCCCTAACAACAATGCAGCTATTCTCCAAGCAAAACCCTTCTAGGCAGGAAGTCACCAAACTCCAGCAGCAAGTCAAAACGAATGGTGCAGGTGTGACTGTTCTAAGGCGGGAAATTTCAGAGCTTCGCACCAAAGTGCAAGAACAACAGAAACAGCTCCAAGACCAAGACCAGAAACTGCTAGAGCAAACCCAAATCATAGGTGAACAGAATGCCCGATTGGCTGAGCTTGAACGCAAACTGAGAGAAGTAATGGAAAGTGCAGTAGGAAGTTCTTCAGGTTCTGGTTCAAATGAGGAGTCCCTTAGGAAACGGAGAAAGGCAGTTGAATCCATAGACTCTCCTAGGAAATCCAAACGCCTTCGAAACAGAAAATAACTTTGGAGTAAATGACACCTCCAGAAGATTACACTGCTTTAGTAGCCCAAGCAGATTTGCTTGTCTGGATACTGTGATTAGCAGCATGGTGTCATTTAGGCTGCTGGCTCTTCAAAACACCACATAGACTTGAACAGTAACTTTCTCTCATTGTTGAGACTTTTTCCCTCTGCTTCTGTCTGGGTGGGCCTAATGCACAGGATCTTTATAATTTGCAATAGATTTGTACTAACCAGACCTGCTCTATCATGTTTTGAAGAGTTAACTTTTTTTTCTGTGCAGGTGATATGTGTTAAAGTAAACTTATTTGTGTTATGCATATATTCACATAAGAGATCTTAAATAAATCCAGTCTTGACTGATTAGAAAGTTAAGCTTACAAACAGATGTCCTGTTCACTTGAAGAAAAGACCCACTTTTTAAATCTTGTTTAAAAAAGTTGACTTTTTTGTTACAAGTGACCTTGTCTGGAATGTCTGAAAAGTAGTGAATACTTTTTGGAATCTATGTAACGAGTAAAAGTGACTTCTTACGCTACAGTATTGGCTATATATTTTTGTAAATTTATGAGCAAGGGACTTCTATCCAGGTTTCACACACACACACATCCTAGTTCTAAGTCTCTGGAGCCATATTCTACATTTGCATGAATATCTGCATGCATTGCTTAGTCAGCTCGCTAAAAGCACTTGCCTGGAGTTGCTCTTAAACCTCTACTTTCCCAGAGTTGTAGAGCAATTTCTTAGTCCTCAGCCATAACTTAGCATCTGCTTTCAGCACAGCTGCTTTCTGACAGTGAGGAGGTCTTGAGACCACTTGTCAACAAGTCGCAGGAAAGGAAAGTGTATTTTAAGCAAAGCCTTGTTGCTGCTTCCACTGCCTGTAGCTTGCAGGTACTCTAGCTAAGCCAAAGCTTGAGAATTCAGCTGTTTTTGCCTATGGGTCCTCTAGTTCATAGGCCAAAATGAACCGAGTATTGGTCAAAAGTTATCTGTTCCTTTAACAAAACAGGCTTAGTGGGACACAGTTGGAGTGAAACGTTGTATTATGAAACTATTTCATGTTGTGGAAAAGAGCTCTCTGTAATACTTAACTATATTCTAGCTTTCCTTATCCTAAAAGGTAAATCACTTCAGACAAAAAAGCTTTAATTTCTTTTGCACTTCTGTTTTGAGCTTGTAACTGGAAAAGCATGTCTTGCACTGTTCAGTCTTTTGATCGGTCACTTTAACAACCTCAGAGTTGTTGTGTACAGTGATTATTTTTTTCCAGTTGTATATTTTTGGAACCTTATACAAATATCACTGTCCTTGTTTTATTTTAATGTACTAAACAATGTAGCTTTATCATTCGACTTATGTTTTCTTTTAATCAACTGTTGCCTTGGGTTTAGGTGGAATTAAATTCGGGCATCGCACTGAAAAATGCCACCTACTGGTGGTAGTTTAAGGTTTTGGAAAGTACCGTGGGTTAAAGTGCAAGTTCAACACTATTATATCTTCTATGCCTGTCCATGCAATGTGGTTCTTGTATTCAAATTAACCAAACAGAAATCAGATTTTGTTCTGTCAACTCTTTTGTGATAGTTGACTTTTTCTTTAAAATTTATTAATCCTAGGTTTTACTTCTTAAACACATTTACTTCATATCAAATGTTTCCCATGAAACGTACCATCACAATTTAATGTCTAGTTTTTGGCAGAGTGTTTAATTTTTAAATAAACTTGTTTTGCTAGTTCAAAGTTATTTTACAATGGGTTGTTTCCTTAAACAAAACCTATTAGCAGTGGGTAACCATTCAGATATCACTCTGGAACAAAGTTTAATAGCAGATGGCCTTTCTTTTAGCTGTTCTTAGTCTGTAGAACTTGGTTTTTGAACTATAACACTGTTACAGGAGAAAGGCCTGTTGGAGAGAACAGTTGTCAACGAAACACTTGAATGTTCCTTCATTTCTAAAAATGATTTTTGTAATAAAAATTAGCATGATTATACCTGTTAAATGATAATTACTCCTTGCATCATGACTTAATTCATTTAATGGGCTTATTCCTTTAACGGGTTCTTGTTTAGAAAGATTTAACAACAAATAAAGAGCCTATACAGTAATTGCATTCTTTGAACAGGCTTGTTCATATTCATTAGTTTAAGGTTTCACTAGTTTTAGTTTCTTCTGCCCTATTAGCATAATGTTAACTAAAATCAGGAGCAGTGCTGAGTTGAATCCATTGAGCATATGCCTATGCAGTAGGTCATTAATGTTACCCATGGACCCTGTTTAACAGAGAGTTTTGGTTCACGTTTATGTACATTAATGAAGGGAAATAATATTGAGGTAAATTTTGTGTAGATGGAATAAACTTAAGTCTTACCTGATCAGGAAGCGTACTATAAACATTTAATCACTTGTTATAAATGGGAAATAATTGTTCTTGTAAAATAACTTCTTTCATGAATATCTTGTTGCTGATACTGAATTAAACTTGAAGTATAGGGAAGGTATTCGTAGTGTAAACAAGGTTATATGAGTTTTCCCAGTATAGCTATACTGACAAAACCCTCCTGGTATAGCTTCAGTCATACTAGCAGAAGCATCTTTTGCCAGCATGACTGCATCTACAGGGTGGTTTTTTTTTTTTTGCCAGCATAGATAAATTATTAAAACAAAACTCAAAAAAATCCCATCCTTAACCAACATAACTATGCCACCAAAACTTTTAAGGGTGGAACTGGCATTAGTTGTGAATTATTCTTCTCAAGTCTAGAAAAGGCCAAAAGCTTTGTAACTAAAAATTGCATTTTTATGAAGTGCAGTTATATTTTTCTACTATTCAAGTCTGCAGTAGTGTGCATTTGGATATTATTGAAAACCAAATATATTGCATAATGGTTCTCTTTAGCCATTTTTTCATCTGGTATAAACAATACCTGCAATCTAATGTACTTCCCCTCTCAAGTCAAATCATGCTATGAAATAGTCCCCTAAAAGACTTATCCTGAAAACAAGAATTGTGTAATTCTCAAATATTATGAAGCTTCTTAGCTTCTTGCCAACTTATTTAACTCAGCCCGGCTTAAGGAGAAACCTGCAACACAGATGAGCAGTGCCCAGGTTAATACAGACTCTCATGAGGTGAGTGTTATACAATAGCTAAATATTTGCATATCTTACTCTAATTCTCAATTTCTTTCAGGTTTCTTAGTCATTAGTTATCTAAGAACAAAAGAACAGCCACAGTGGGTCAGACCTTTCCATCTAGTCCTTTATCCTGTCTCTGACAGTGGCCAGTACCAGAACTTCAGGAGGAATGCAAAGAATTGAGCAGTTAGCGTGATCCACCTCTCGTCCCCTCCTGGCTTCTGATAATCAGAGGTTTAGGATAGCTCCGAGCATGGGGTTGCATCCTTGACCATCTTGGCTAATAGCCTTTGATGGACCTATCCTCCATGAATTTATCTTGTTCTTTTTTGAATACAGTTACACTTTTGGCCATCACTACATCCTATGGCAATGAGTTCCTCAGGTTAACTGTGGTTGTGTGAAAAAGTATTCCTCTTGTTTGTATTAAACCTGCTGCCTTTTAATTTAATCAGGTGACCCCTGGTTTTGGTATTGTGGGAAAGGGTAAATACCACTTCTCTCTTCACTTTTCCCTCACCATTCATGATTTATTAGACCTCTATCAGATTTCCCCTTCCTCATCTCTTTTCTAAGCTAACCAGCTGCATCTTTTTAGTCTCTCCTTGTATGCAAACTGTTCCATACCCTTGATAATCTTTATTGCCCTTCTCTGAACCTTTTAAGGTTCCACTATATCCTTTTTGAGATGGGGGTGACTAGAACTAGACAGTATTCAGGGTGGGGGTGCACCATGATTTATAGTGGCATTATGATATTTTCTCTCATTTTCTATCCCTTTCTTAATAGCTTATACCTTCTGTAAGCCAGAGGTGAAAGTAAGCTGGTCTGGTACGGCATACCGGCAAGAGCCGGTATGCCATGCCGGACTGGACTGGCTTCTCCAGCGGGGCTTTAAAGGGCCCGGGGCTCCCCGCAGTGGCAGGAGCACCAGGCCCTTTAAATCCCTGCCCGAGCCTGGCTGCCAGAGCCCCGGGCCCTTTAAATCGCTGCCGGAGCCCTGCCGCCTGCCCTGCCGTGATGATGGGGAGTGTCGGGCTGGGGAGTGGTGGCACAGGGAGAGACATCAAGTCTCTTGCTGCTCGGAATGCCTCCACCGTTGAAGGTGCCATGAAATGTTGTGGGCCCTGACGGCTCCTAAGAGTAGGTGGTGGTTCCCAATTTGGGCTCAGTGCCCTAGGTGGTGTGGCCACTGCCAGATGTGGCTCTTCGGGAAATTGAGCAGCCCTGTGCAGGTCTCGACTCGTCTGGGGACTCCCGGGTAGCTGTGTGCGGTGTTGGAGAATGACCTCGTTCCAACCATGACTTCTTATGCCTCTTCTTAGGCATGGGAGAAGGGGAGCGGCACCAAGAAGGTCCAGGTGTCGGAGGGGCACACCGCACCGACGCCGAGGTGCTTGATGCAGAGTCAGAGTGGCATGATTCCAATGCGGGGCGCAGGGAAGCCTCCATCAACATGGCTTTTAATTGGATATCCCTGTCTTTAAGAGTTCGAGGTCTGAAGTTTTTTCAGATCCTGCACTTCTCTTTAATATGCGCCTCTCTGAGGCACTTAAGGCAGCTCGTGTTCAGGTCACTAATAGGCATAGGTTTGCTGCACCCAGCACACGGCTTAAACCCCAGGACTGGGGCATACCCCGTCTTTGGGGCTATGTCCCTAATTGGACTCCGCTCCTAAATGCTAACTACTAACACTACAGTAACAATATACAAGAAAAGTCCAAAGTTAGAGAAACCACTATCGGACTTGTGAAAACAAGGAGCATTCCAACAACCGTCACTGGTGGAAAGAAGGAACTGAGAGGGCATGGGGCCAGCAGGGCCCGATGTACCAGCGCATAAGCACAGGGCTCCAGAGGTTGCCAAAGCCAGCCCTAGGGGGCGCGCACACATCAAATATGGAATCGACATGAGCAAGCACTCGAAGAAGAATAATCCAATGTTGCGTGCCTGAGGCACATATGCACCTAGAGTGGGATCTATATGGACAAATACTCAAGGAACAACTTGTTCACTCTGGTAACAGCAGTCTGGAGGCAACTTTAAACTTGTGAAAAAATGGGTCTCGTCTTACCTTTTCCTTTTCCTTTATTGTCTGTTCTAAGGAGCGACGAGCACTTTCAACAATTTGTCTTTGACAATTCACTAGTTCTGACAGTTTTTCCATCTTTTGCTCCACCATTTCATGCTATAAAAAGTTTAATCATAAATCACAGTGCTGCAAGGGGAATACTTATCATTTGTACTACAATAGCAATCCCGCCCCCGCAATCAGGATTGAAACCCCACTTTAGTTGGCATTCTTAAAAAAAACCAAAAACACATACATACGAGGAAGTCATGGTCTCTGCCCCAAAACTGCTTACAGTCTTTCATGACGTAGTGAACATCCACACAGGTCTCCCATCCCAAACTGATAACAGATTACACTTGGCTATAGTACAAGTGTGTGCTAAGTTTCAATAAATGAGCAGCAAAAACTAAAAAAAACTAGAAGTGTTTAGGCACAGGAGATAAATTCAATGCAACTTTCAATTTACAGTGAATCAGCACACTGATTCAACAGGAACAAAAATTAGTGAACTATTTTGAACAGCAAGAACAGAACAATTTTAATTGTTTAAAGTAGGTTAGACTGAAATTTTAAACTGAAAATTTTAAACTGAAAATCAATATGCTAAGAATTTCCTTTTTAGAGGAAATTCTCCTATTAGAAGTGTTTCAGTTTATCTGTCATTTTATTAAAATAATATATTGCTTGTAATTTTGGTGGTTTATAAAGAACTAGAGTACACTGAAACCCCATTTAATAAATTCCCAGAGTAATTTCTATTGTGAAAACAATCTGCTGATTGTGTCTCAGAACACAATACTACCGTCGCTCCTTTGCCTCTTACAGTTTCATTGATTTATTACAGCCCTTGATCAAAACACCAGTTCAGTATGGAGACCTAATCTTGCTAACTCTTATGTGAAGGACTTGAAAACAACACATTTTCCAGGAAGAAAGATTAGAGGCTAGAGTCACTGAAGAGGCAGAATTGAGGTTGTTTGAGATGATACATTTGATACATTTCCAAATTTTTAAATGTTGGGTTGCGATTTACGTTTAACT